TTTGCAGGAATCCCTCTGTACTATTTTTGCAACATCTACTGTAAATCTAAAATTATTTCAAAATTAAAAGTTACAACAAAACACAATTTTACAAAAGTGCCTGGCCCCCCAGACCACACTCTGAGTTGCAAGGATGCAGATCAGTGGTTCTGAAGATGTGGTTCCCGGACCAGCGGCGCTGGCGTCCCCTGGGAGCTCGTTAGAAATGCAAAACCTCAGGCCCACCTCAGACTCACTGAGTCAGAACCTGTGTTTTAATGAGATCCCAGGTTATTCATTTACACGTGAAAGTTAAGAGGCGCTGCTCTAGAATGAACGTGCAGGGCGGGGGCTGAGGAAACAGGGCAATGGCAGGGGTCAGGCAGGCTGAAGGCCCGTCATCACACCTGTCTTAAGAGCCTGTCCTTTCCTCTCGCACGCAGGAAAGAGTACAGGAGGAAACGTCAGAGGAACTCTGCAACGACAGTCAAGCCAAAGGCAGAACTGGGAGAAACAGCCTTCCTCTCCCCCGGAGTGCTGGCCAGGGGCACAGGGACCTGGCTCGGGGTGAGGCTGCTGATGGCGGGGCAGAGGCAGCTTCCACAGAAGCCAAGTAAACCAGGCCGGGAGGCACTGACCACAGGAAAAAGGACATCGCAGCTACGGCCCAGGGTTTATCATTTACTCTTCCAAGGGCTGATCCCGTTCTCCTTTTAGAAAAGGAGAGAGCTGAGCCAGTCTGTGAAGCCCCATAACCAGGAGTGGGGAGAGAGAGAAGGAAGCAGGGAGAAAGGGGGGCGGGGATGAAAAGGAAGAAAAGGAAGGGAGGGAAGAAAGGAAGAACAGAGGCTTTTTGAACAAATTGCTCTTTAGCAAAGTTTTGGCTTTTACCAAGATCTTTTGCAGATAAGGCTTGCAGAGGCCTCCCCTTCGGCAATTACCAGTAGCGGTGGCACCAGTCACCTGGCAATCAAGGCCCCTTGTGAAATGTGGTCCCCCCAATCAAGCCCAACAAACACGATGCTCCAACAGGCCAGGCTGCCAGGAGCGTGCCACCCTCTGTGGTTCTGCTCATCGTCTGTGAAGATCTTGCCCAATCTCCAGCTCCCAGCTTAGATCCCGGCTCCTCGTGGCTACACCTTTCCTGACCACTCAAGCCCCAAGTGCCACTCTGCATGGCTCCATGTAAGACTCTTCTCACACTTGCCTACACCGAGGGTCATTCCAAAACCCCCAACAGGTCTCGCTCCCCAGGATTTGCTGGACTGCCTCTTGGAGCCACATCTGTTTTTCTGAGCTGGCGTTAGACGCTCACGTTTTTGGAGCCCTGCCACTTTGGCAGGAAGCCCCTGGGCAGCCTGTAATGTGGAAACAGAACATCTCTGATCTTGGGTATGGGTAAGGAACGCTGCAGGAATTAATCTGATGGATAAGCAGGGAGAAGCATGTGTAGCTTTTCAAATACACAGATGTCAACACCCCTGAAAATAACGAAGCACGCTGCAATTCTAGATGTTTGCCTGCTTACCAAGCACACGACTACAAACCAGGACATCTACAGTCACTAAGAGCGGGGCACACATCTGAGAGGCTGTGCCACGTAGACCACAGAGTCAGAATTCTCTTCCCTCCACCTGAGAAGAGGAAGGGGGTACAATAGCCATGATGCCCAAATCAAAGAAGACAACACCTAAATTAAATAATAAGTATCCAGGTGTTAAAAGAGAAACGCTCTTCAAAGTAAGCTAGTGGTGCCTTCCTGACAGGCACTATCACTGCTGAGGGAAAAAGTCGCAGGATTTTATTGGCAAGCTCTACCCAAACCCAAGTCAATGGCCAATCCTCACGGCAAGTTCCAATCAAGGTGCAGGTCCCACACAGCAGCTAACCGTAGCCATCTCTGAACCGCAGTGACACCCGGGAGAGAGCGTTCTCCTATGGGTCTGGACCACAGAGACGACTCCACTCAGGCTGGCAGCTGGTCAATAAATGTGCACCTCAGCTCAAGTACAGGATAAGAACACACCAGAGTGGCTGTGAAATAATAATTTGTCTAGTCTTTGTCCTCATTCCTCTAAAGCCTTGGAGTTTCCCAAGTGACAGGAGTGTCTTTGTTATCCATGGAGTGCCCTCGGATCATACCTGACTTTATACTAACAAGATAACTCCGGATGGGGAGAGATCAGCCCAGCCTCCTCTGGGGAGGGGAGGAGGGCTGGAGATCGGGTCATTCATGGGGCCCGTGAGCCAGTCAATCACGCCTACGTAATGGGACCCCCATAAAAACCCTGGACACCGAAGCTTAGTGAACACATGGATGTGCTGATCAACGTGATGCACCCTGACTCCACGGGGAGAGGACGTGGAAGCTCTGCATTCAGGACCCTGCCAGGCCTCCCTGCATGTCTCTTGGTGTTTGGCTGTCCTGAGTTGTATTCTTTACAATAAAACTGGAATCACAAGAATAGTGCTTTCCTGAGTTCTGTGAATCATTCTATAATAGCAAGTTATCAAACACAAGGGGGTTATGGGAACCCCTGAATTTGTAGGCAGTTGGTCAGAAGTGCAGGTAGTCTGGGGACCCCCAACCTGCGCTTGCATCTGAAGTGAGGACAGTCTGATGGGGAACTGCACCCTTCGGCCTGCAGAGTTCGCACTAACTCCGGGCGGTGGGTGTCAGAATTGCACTGCAGTATTGGAGTGGTTCAGGTCCATCCTGTCTTCGGCCCTGGAGAAAACCTGGACTCAGTCTGCATTCCTCAGAACTTTTTGTCTCCTTTACCCATGCGCTCCCTCCCCCCACTCCACCTCCCCTGGAAATACAATTTCCTCTGAAATTGGGGAATTTGAGACTCAACTCAGGCACATAAGACAACCCAAGGTGCAATTGAATCTATCTCTACAGCATTGTGGAATAAAAAACTAAGCCTAGGCCACCACTCAGCAGCTTTGTGACCACGGGCAAATTACTAAGCCTCTCTGAGCCTTGGTTCACTTCTGTGAAATGAGGCTAATGACCCCCTCTCTCACAGAGCTGATGGGACAACTCAATGATGTAACATATTTACAGAGCCTAACAGCCTCTCACACGTGGAAGGTACTCAATAAATATCCACCTACTCCCCCCCCATTCTCAAACTGCCCTGTACCCCCAACTCTTCCCGCCTCTCTGCGCTGCCTGGATAACTGTTCTGGGTGCTGGGCCCACTGGCGACACGCTGATGTTTTCCATCCCAGGGCAGCAGGCAGCCAACCAGTACATCAAAAGTGAAAAGCAAGTAACCATTACCTTGAACAAAAAGGACATTTATATTTACTTCAGTGGCTATAAAAGACACCATAAAATATAATATGCAGCATGCATCCTCATGATTAACAACAGATACTGCAAATTACTTGCAGGCCCCTGGGTGCATCCAACTGGTCACTAAGAACAATTAATTCTTTCAGGAAATAAAAGGATTGTGAATTGTCTTTGGTCACTGAAAAACCTGCTCATCATATTATGAATAAAGAGAACAGAAAATGAGGCTCAAACTCAGGGTTTTTTTTTTTTTTTTTGAGACAGAGTCTCACTCTGTTGCCCTGGCTAGAGTGAGTGCCGTGGCGTCATCCTAGCTCACAGCAACCTCAAACTCCTGGGCTCGAGCGATCCTCCTGCCTCAGCCTCCCGAGTAGCTGGGACTACAGGCATGCGCCACCATGCCCGGCTAATTTTTTCTATATATTCTTAGTTGTCTGATTAATTTCTTTCTATTTTTAGTAGAGACGGGGTCTCGCTCTTGCTCAGGCTGGTCTCAAACTCCTGAGCTCAAACAATCCACCCACCTCGGCCTCCCAGAGAGCTAGGATTACAGGCATGAGCCACCGCGCCCGGCCTCAAACTCAGGGTTTTTCTGCCCTTGTGAATGGGGTGACGTAAGATCACGGAGATTCAAATGCAATCACTGTCTGTGAGCATGGGTGCACCAAATCTAGGATCTCAGGGGCCTGGAGACCATCCAGACACAGGAGTTAGGGCAGGAATTTGAGGATGTCCCAGAAAAAGGAGCAGACAACCAGGCTGCGGGGAAGTTGGGGTAGAAACACAGTTCAAACAGGTGACACAGGTGACACAGGTGTCAGAGTGGCAACCTAGCCACAGCAACCAAGGTTTCAGCAGTAGGACTAACACCTCCAGAAGCACTGGGGGGACCTGGTAGAATCCCAGGCCTGAAACTGAGGTCACTGAACGAGAACCAAGTAAGTCAGGATAAGTCAGGAAGCAATTAGAACAAAGCAGGTGCCTGGGTAACAGGAAATGAGGTGAGAACCCAGGGGAACCAGAGTCCAAGGTTTTGGCTGAGCCTCTGAGTTCCTGGCCTTGGGCATCTCGGCTCCTCCAACCAAGGTCTCAGAATCTTGGAAGGTAGGAGAAACCTCCAAGAAACAGGAAGTGGCCCGACAGGTTGGAAGGATTATAGGGGTAAGAGGCCAAGCAAAAGATCATACTGGCACTTGGCATTCAGGTCCACTCCTACCTAACAGCCAGTGTGGACTCACGCAAACCTAGAATACCAGTCAGGCCCTGACCGTATTCTCCCTGGGTCTCCCTGGGAAACCCTGAGGAAGCAGCAACCAAGAGGAACCATAAGCCTTTGGCAAGCCCTCTGGAAGGGCATGTGCTTGGGGTCAGATGGGGGGCAGTGAGCTAGGATGGACAAACCCTGCAACCTTGACATGGTTTTTATTGAAACACAGTACGTAAAACACCAAAGGGATCACTGTGACAGCAGTGAATTCACAGCTGCAACAGAGTCTGCCCTCAGAGGGCAAACCACCTCGCTAGGGTGTGACACTTCTGGGGACTGATATGGCAAGGAGAGGGAACTGTTCTCTAGGAAGTTCAGAGACCATGCTCACCTCCAACAAAACAAACATCCTACACATTCGATGTGCCCTCAGTGGCACGTGTGGTCCATCCTGACTATAGAAAGGGCTGACGAAGTGGGGGACATCCAACCCAATGGCACATTCCAGGAGTGGGAAAGTGGGCTGCTTAGTCTTCCCTGGGACAAGGCGAGAAAGCCACTCCGCAATTCAGCCTGAGGCCCTGAGACAAGGGCCCCGTCGTGGCAGTGGAATTCCAAAGGTGGAGTATAACGGTGTCCTGGACAATGGCCCTGGGGCCACCACGCAGCAAAAAAAGGGACTGAGGAGTGAAAGGACACCAGGAAGGGGCAAGGGGCACAAGTCCACTCAGTGTGGAGCAGGAAACAGCCAGCAGAGCAGGGCCACGGCCCAGCTGGGCAGCCTCAGTCCCTTCACACGCAGCATGAGCTCGTGAAGGCTGATCTGCCACAGGCTGAAGGCCTCGCTGAAGGAGATCTGTGTCCTTCTCAAGAATGAACAGGTGTTCTTCTTCTTGTGCCTGGAGGAGGGGAAAGAAGAAAGGAGAGAAGAAATAAAGGGGCAAGAAACACTAGCTCAGTATCATTCAGAAAAACAGATGGTGGCTTTGGCCAGCTCACCAGCTCCCTGCCCCTGGGGGCTGCTCTTGCTTACACGGCCACACCACTGCCCAACCAGGGACTAGAGAAGCTCAAATATTCCAAAGGAGTTTTTCAAATACGTGGGATAAGCAAAAGCAGTTGTTTCACAGGGCATCAAATGTCTGACAGACCCAATGGGTAGAATATTCTCATGTTTCTTTCTCCAAAAGTATAGTAAATATATGCCCATCCAGAATCCCCCAAACTCAAATATAATCAAGCCTTCCCAAAGTCTCCGAGGATAAGAATCGCTTGGAAACCTGGCCAGGTGGTCCTGGGAGGCTGAGGCCCTTATGGATTCAGCCCAACTCAATCCCTTCGACGACAACAAAAGGACATGATGAAAATTGGTGTTTATAATGATGACCTATTCAAGAGTTCATTTCCTGCACCCTCAAAAGAAGACTAAATCTCAGTCGGCCCTTTCAGCATGCAGTGTATTTTGCTGCAAACCAATGTGATATTTGGTAGTGGATACGTGATCTATGCGGTCAATCTCCCTTCACCAGTTTCCCAGAATGACCCATTCCCTGCCCAGGATGGTTGGGCTGGGCACTGACCACCACCTAGGGCTCCTCTCATGGGTGAGAACATTCAACTGGAGCACAGCCCTTCTGACATATTTGCCATCCTTAGTTGAAGGTCCTGGAACCCTCATTCCTCTGGAACTTTCTCCCTGAGGAAGCACATTTCTCTTCCTCATTAATACCCTACAGGTGCTGGGGCAACTGAGAGGATCGGAGACCCTGCGAGACCCTGCTGGCCACCCTTCCCTGAGTCACGTCACACCTGCAGGAAAAAGAACTCTGGCCTGGCTGCCTAAGGAGCTAAGTCCCGGGACCAGTTAGAGGTGAGATATGCACCAGGGCTTCCTGACCCCAAGCCCAAGGGACACTTGGATGGAGCTGAAAACTCTAAGAAAACATCTCAAACTTTACTGAGGGTAAGAACTGCCTGGAAAGCTGGACTGGGAGGGTGAGGTCCTAGAATCCATTTAACAAGCACAGGTGGTTCTCTGAACCACCCAAAAATACCACCCTGAGGCACTGAGTTCCCTAGAGCCGTTTTCTGCCCCTCACTTTCCCTGCAGAGAGGTTTGGAGATTGGGAAGTTCAGGCGGGGTCCTGCGGACTGGTGGGGAAAGGAGAGGCAAAGGCAGGAGCCCTGGGGCTGGGAGTGGGAAGAGGCCAGAGCCCACACTCACTCGGCCAGCGCCCTGATGCAGCAACGTGACATGTTGAGGAAGGAGCTGGCGCTGGCGCGGATGCCCAGGGTGGCCTCGATGCCACGCAGCAGGTCGTTGGTCTTGAAGATGAGCAGCATCTGGCGCGGCACATGGTTGAGGAGCTGGCTGATCTGGGGGAGGTAGTTGGCCGCATTGTTGCGGATCTCTGTGTCCTGCGGCAGCAACAGGGAGACAGAAAACGGACAGTTGGCGTCGGGTGGCAAGAGGCTGGGCAGCCTGCAATGGAGGGGCTGTAGGGAAGCTCCAGGAGAAAGCAATCCCCAAAGTCTGGCACGAGGGGCCGTGTAACCTGACAAACCCACATGGGATGTCTCCGCCCCACGTGTGGGCAAGGGCTGGATGCAGCACAGGAACACGTCAGGAGGGGCCAGGTTATTCTCCAGGACTTCTGGGCTGGCCACTGATTTTAGGCCAGACCTGGAAGGAACCCTGGAAGCTGATACCAGCTGAGTCTGGTCCCCCCCCAACCCCCCAGCCAAGTATAGGCTGGTATAGCTCATAGGTCTGAGCTCCTGACCCCAACCCAACTCCAAAGTCCTGCCCCAAACCTTGCACCCCACCAGGTCTACGCTGCTGCCCACGCTCCGGTGCTTACCACCACCCTCCGCACTGAAGCCTGTCTCATCCCACACGTAGCCCGAGGTCCCGATGCCCCTGGCACAGGACCCAGGGCTAGCCCTTCACGCTGGTCATCTCGCAGCCCTTGACGCATCTGGTGTTTAGGGTCTGGCTTCCCTGTCCCTGCGCTCTGCATGGCTCTAGGCAGAGAACTGCCCCCAGCCAGGATCCTGAGGGTGACAGTGTGGCTCTGACCCCTTTTCAGCCTCCAGAAAGATGATGATTATGACAGCACTTTGACAATGCTCAGTGCATTAATTTATTTCATCCTCACGACAACCCTATAAGGTTAAGTATATTAACGCCATTTAAGAGGAAGAACCTGAGGTACCAAGAAGCTAAGTAACCTGCCCAAAGTCCATGGCTAAGTAAGCAGTGAGTCACCACTTAACCTCAGGCAGTCCAGCCCCGAGCCCACGTCCTTATCACCAGGTGACGCGGCCTCCCCACCTCCCCCACCTCACCGCAGGACTGCATGACCCTGAACAAGTCCCATAAGCTTTATCAATTCGGTGTCCTCATCCCAACATGGGAATGCTGACACTGTCTGTGCCCACTGCCCCGCAGCACCGGGAGGGTCACCAGAGATAAGGTCGGGGAAGCACTCGGTACCCATGGCAGTCATAACAAGGGGCCCAGCGGTGCTGCCAAAGGGCTTTAGCACCCGGCTGCTTTCCGGAGAAGCAGAACCCTCAGTCCTTTCAGGGGCGTGTGTGCGCTGCTGATAACTAAGTCACTGCGAAACTTGAAATGTCTTTCAGGCAGGAGCTATCAGACTAGAACAACTCAACACAAAGCCAGACACCGAGAGGTGGCTGCTGCCACAGCTGCAGGTCCCCCTGCTTGAGGGCTAAGGCCAGACCTAGACCCGGCTCACCTCAGGGACCCCACTCAGTAAGGCCGGGCTGGCCCGACAGCCCCTCTCAGCATCTTCGTGCACCTGGCTCCCTCCCAGGGATCTCTCCCAAAGCAGCAAAGCCTTCAAGCCTAGATATATCCTGATAGGGAGTGTCTGCAGTAGACTGTGTTGGGTGCCCATCTGACAGCTATCCCGTCATTCTCCTTTACTGAAAGGACCCAATTTTGTTCATGTGACCCCTTGAGATCCTGCTCTGCAGGGGGGCAGAGCCCCTCCCTAGCCACAGTGGGGAATCCAGACTAGGCTCAGCCAAGGCTGGCTCTGAGCGCTCATCCCCTCGCCAAGTGACTGGTTTAGGCACAGACACGTGACATGATTCTGGCCAATGAGACACGAGGAGGAGTCTGTTGGAGGACTTCTGGGAAAGGTTTTCTTGCTCTTAAGAAATGATAGAGAAGAATTAGCTCCTACTCCTGCCTCTGGTCACCACCAGATGAAGACGTAAAGCTTGGAGCTGCCGCGGTCGTCTGATGACAGAAAACCAAGAGAATCGAAAGAGTCAGCCCAGAGCCCTGAGTGTGGTGATCTGCTGAGTTATCCCGTCTGGACCCACCTACCTCCAGGCTTCCTGTTACGGAGAGAACAAGTTCCTTATTGTTGAAGAAATTGGGGAAAACATTCTCCCTGACACAACGCTGGAGGTTCCCCTGATTCTCAGTGACAGCAGGGCTCAGAAAGGCAGAGCCTTCAGACCCCTGAGGCTGCGCTGGCCTGGAGCGGCCAAGTTCACCCTCCATCTGGGTTCCTGTCCAAAGTGACCAGGTGGAGTCAGTGTCTCCAGAGCCCAAGCAAATGCCTCTCTACTACATACAGTCCCAGGACAGCAAGGACCCTATAAAAAGATGTACAAGAGAGCGTCCCTGTCCTCTAGGCACTCACTACGTAGAGAGTTAAGGCATACCGAAAAATAACTACTCTCTCTGCAAGAGATTATGATGCACTTGCCCCGTGACTGACACAAGTATTAAGGTGACTTTTGGCAAAGATGATGAGGGGAGGCTAATGTGGAAGAGAGAATTCTTCCAAGGACAGGCATTCAAACTGGGTCTTTAGGAATGAATACGAATGCAAAACCAAAATTCTCTCTTAGTTAATGAAAACAGGTATCATATACTGAGTACCTACTAGCCATGTGACCTTATCTAGCCCTGTGGCTTTACCATCTATTTGCTAAAGACTCCTAAACTTATATCTCGAGTCTGGACTTCTCTTCTTTGAACTCCAGTTTTTTGTTTTATTTTTTTTTTAAGAGATGGGGTCTCACTCTTGCTCAGGCTGGTCTTGAACACCTGACCTCAAGCAATCATCCCACCTCAGCCTCCCAGAGTGCTAGGAATACAGGCGTGAGCCACCGTTCCTGGCCCTGAGCTCCAGTCTTAACTGCCCATGACATTTCTATTTCCTCGAGAGAACTGTTGACCACCCACACCCAAATACGTCCTTCCCAAAGTCTTTCTACCTCAGGAAGTAGCACCGTCCCCCACCCTACAACATCCCAAAAAGCTCGGCACAACCTTGGCTCTACCCTTTCCCCTGCTCTACATCCGTCCTGCAGAAAGCCCTCGCAGTCTCACCTCCCGTGACCAGGGCTCCACCTGCTTCTCTCCATCTCCACTGCCACCAGCACAGTCTGAGCCCCCGTCATCTCTCAACCTGCAATCCTCCCAGCCTCCTAAATGATCGCTGTGCTCACCTCGCCCCACTCGAGAGAGACACTTAAAAATAGCAAGTCTGAGCCTCTCCCTCTCCTGCTTAAAGCCTGTCAAAGGCTTTGCTTTGTACTGAAAATTAAGCCAAACTTCTTTCCGTGGCTTCTGAGGCCCTGTGTGATGCCTTCCCTGTCCAGCGCTCCAAATTCCTCTCATCCTACCATCATCCACACCACACTCTGGACCACCACACTCTTTCTTTCCCCTAAGCCTTAGTGTGCCTGGAAAGCATCCTTCAAGCTCTTCCTGGGGCTGGCGTCTTTCTTATCCTTCAGGCCTCAGCTTAAAGGTCAATAGCTCAGCGGGGTCTTCTCTGAACATTGACCCCACTCCCTTACTCACGGCACCCTGTTTCCTGCACGGTACCTAAAAACCTGCAATTATTCCACTTACCTGTTTGTTCACTTGTTTACTGTCTGTCTCCCTCAACCAAGGTGTAAATTACAGGAAAGGCCTGTCTGTTCATCATGGGATCCTTAGCACCCAGCCCGAGGTCCAGCAAAAACTAATGTTTGCTGAATGAATGAACTTCAGCAACTATGGTAGGCACTTTCCATGCACTATCAATAAAGTGGAAATTGTCATCCTTATCGTCCCTGTTTTACAAAAAGAGGGAGATTGTCTCTCTTCTTCTGAGATGACAAGCTTCAAGGCTGTGGACACCCGGAGCAGCTGGTGGTCATCTTTGCCACCACACTTGCTGGAGAATGATGTCAGTTTGGAGGACAGTGGAGCCAAGAGAGGGCAAGAGATGGCCGCTTTGGTGACATCATTTGAGAATCTGGATCCAGCCATTCCTAAAGCCACCTACCACAAGGCAGCTGCCAGGGTGAGCAGGTTATCTCAAGGCTCAAAGAGGTGATGACAACTAACCAAGGTCACACCACCAGGAAGGGGCGGTGCTGGAACTAGAGTGCACAGCTCTCTCACTGCACACGCAGGACCCTGTCCCTTATTGTGAGCACGGCCTCAGCTGGAGCCCGAGTCCGCCCCCTGCATGGACTCAAGCAAGTGTGGATGGGTCTGGCACACTGACAGGCTGGAAAGACAGAAGTCAGGTCCACGGAGCATGGAGAAGCCTCCCGGAAGGAGTCCACCCCGAGCCAGGGAGAACAAGCTCGCCGCCATAAGCCTGTGGCATGCAAGCAGAGGCGGCTGTGAATACGGGAGAAAGTGCTGCCGGGATCCGTCTCCCAGCCCAGACTCCATAAGACTCTTGTCTGGATCCAGTGGAGAAACGAGCTACAAATAAATGTACCAAAGCTGTTTCACTAGCAAGTGTGCAGGACAGTGGGATGACCAGCAATGCCTGAGTGCCACACCAGGAAGTGAAGGACTCTCCCAGCACGGTGCCTCTGAGGACCACGTGACAGGAGACAGTGCCAGGCAGGGGACAGTGGAAGCACTGCCAGACGTGTTTATGAGACAGTCTCTGGGGAGTCCCCCAAGTCCTATGGGAGACCGAGGGTAAAGCCTGGACTCTCGTGTGAGCAGGTTGGAGCTAAAGCCACAGAAGTCTGGGTAATGACAGTTACCATGACCTTGTTTCTATTCCAGGCTGATAAGGCCTGGAGGGGCTCCCCTGAGCTACCCCCTCTTTTCCTCCTTCTATCCAGGGGCCCTGATTCTCCACGTCTCCCTCGTCATCCAATACAGCTCCAATTCTGCCCCTCCCTGCACACAGCCCCCCAGTGCAGAATCTCAGACCCCAGCTGGAAGGGTCCTCAGGCTGCCCCCTACCTCAGTGGCAGTGACCGGGGCTTGGCTAATGCCCTTGTTGACGGAGTCCCACGACCGGGCCGTTAGCATGCAGGCAAACAAGGGGTAGAGGTCCCCGGCTCCCAGGCGCTGGCTGTACTCCTGCACCCGTTTCATGTCAGTCCAGATCAGAGACTGCCAGAGGTGGCAGTAATCCAGGCGGAACTCTTCTGTGAGCACCTGTGGTGGGGGCACAGTGGTAGGACCTGAGCCTCCTCTACCCACCAAACGCCCAAGTCCCTGGCGGTGCTGATCCCTGCAAAGCGGGACGATGAGGACTGTGGGCTGTGCCTCCTCATGATGTCTGCTTCTCCCCCAAAGTTCAGCCATCCCTGAAGGCCCAAACCCAAAGCTACTATTTGGCAAGCCTTGGTCCTGAGTGGCAGAGACTGCTAACTGCCCACCAAAACCTATATTCTCTTCTTCCCAGGTGCAGGCTACTTCCCCAGCCTCCCTTGAAATTGGATGTGGCCCTCTGCTTGAGCTCCAACTGATGGAACGTGGCGGAAGCTCCACTTTGAGGTCCAGTCCACAAAAACATCCCCAGGCATGCTCCTCCGGGCCCTTGCCCCTGTGCCAGCTGACAGCACCACCACCTCCATGGAGGCCTGGGAGGCAAAGACTGCAGACTCCTCCACCCACTCAGGCCTGGCACGTGAGCAAGCAATTAAGCTTTCGTTCTGTCTGGGCCATCATTCATTTGGGGGCCACGTGTGACAAAAGCTAGCCTACCTTAAACTAATGCATCCTATCTTCATGGAGCCTTTCAGAAGAGGCCAAGATTTTAGGATTTAGGATCAGGGCCCTGGGGGAAGATTATTGGGCAAACCTCCCCAGGACCATCTGCCTCATGGAATCAAGCCAGGCCCCGGGTCCCAGATTGGCAGTGAATTCCCAACTTCCAAGCAGGAGTTCACAGCTCACTTGAACTAGCTTTGCATCCCAAGTTCCAGAGGACAAGTCTGAGACCCACTGGCCCCTATCAGCTGCCTGCCCCCTTTCCACTACATACTGCATCCTTACTGGGGCTGAACACGCAGTTAACCCTCCTCCCGAAGTCCCAGCTCATGCATAGGACAGCTCACTTCCCAGGGTCTGGGCTGGCCTGAGTTTCCCTGGGAAGGCACAATCATATATACAAGCATCTTTCCATCTGCTTCTCATAACAGCCTGTGAAGGAGGTGATATCAACCTCACCTTATTGAGGAGGAAGCTGAAGCTCAGAGAGCTCTTGTGACAGTGACTTACACAAAATGACAGCTCCTAGGAGAAGGGCAGGGGCCTCTCCGGCTACCTTGACCATCTGTCTCCCACTTCTGGGCAGATCAAAGAATCCAGCAGGCTCTAACCCCAGAGGCCCTGAGGCTGGTGGAGAAGGCCTCTTCTACCTGGTAGAGTCCATGGTCCAACAGGATAATCTCTGCCTTGCCCGTGCCCGGGTGCTTCCGCACCAGCACGTTGCCCGGGTGGGGATCGCAGTGCACGAAGCCATTGACAAAGATCATCTCACTATACATCTTGCCCAAGTGGCGTGAGATCTGTAAGAGAGGAGAGTCTGTAAGAGAAGAAAGGCAGGTGGGGGTTGCTCTCTATCCACACCTGTCTCAGGGGCTTCTACTCTGGTCCTTCAATCTGGTCACTTTCAAGAGTAGGCTGGGGGCATGGGGCCAGCCTGTGCAGTCATGGTGGGAGGGATGGCTTGAGATGGTGTCATTCTTGAGTTTAAGATAGAAGCTAAGCTCCAATCCACTCCTTCTTAACTTTAGCTGCACATTAGACTCCTCTAGAACTCGAACGACGTAGGTGGTACTAGGCATCAGTGAAGGTGACACTAACGCAGTGAGGTGGGAGGATGCTGCTTCCGGCTTTCTGAGGGCCAAACTCTCCACCTCCCACACCTACCCCCCGCCCTCCCCGCATTCCTCTCTTCCCTACTTTCTTATCAGCCCCTCTTCATTTTCCCCCAAAGCTGAGAATGGGCTGAAAAGCCAGGTCGGGGAGCTGTTCCGACCACCCCATCTCCAGAGCACAGGGCTGGGGCTGAGGATCAGGAGTAGGCGACCCCAGCACCACCCTCCGGGCTGCCCACTGGCTCCAGGCTGCTCCCCTCCCCACCAGAGCCCAATGCTAATCTGATTTATGATGTCTGCACAGAAGAAATGACACTGGAGAAGCCGTTTAAATCATCCTGTCACTGCTGCTCTCCCCGCCGAGGCAGGCTTCTTATCTCTACTCCCTTTTTCATTAAAGCTAAAAGCCTCTTCCCAGCTAAGGAACAGCTGCTGAATACAGCCAGACCTGGCTCCAGAGAGGGTCTTGTAGATGGGTTTCCAGGTGACAAAGAGATGCTCAACCCAGAAAGCTGACACCCCAGGACACACGCCGCCCCTGGCATTCCTCTCAGCTTTGGCTGGACCCCATGGTCGTTAACAAACATATCCCAGTCAGAGGAGAGCAGATGAGGCCCATGGGCTGGGGAACACAGGACTAGGACATTTCAATAAAGTCTCAGGTCCTTTCCTCCACCTACAAAGTCCTGCACAACCAGGCCCTGCTTCCCTCCTGGTCTCATCTCACACCACCCTGACACTCCAGCCACATTCCCTTCTCCTTTCAGTGATGTCTGTGCTTTCCTACCACAGGACCTGGCTACTCCCTCCGCCAGAAGCATTCCTTCCATTTCCCCTTCACCTGGCTCCCTCCCTCCCTTCCTTCCCAACCCAGGTGAGCATCACCTCCCTGGGGAAGCCTTCCCTGACCTCCCAGGCTAGCTGAGGTTTTCCCCCAATATACTCCCATAAGATGCTGTTCTTTTCTTTCATGGCACTAGCACACTATTTGTGTGATTATTTGATTCATGACCATCTAGCCCACTATCATAAACTCCCAAGACAGCAGGGACTGGCTCTGTTTTGTTAAACAGCTTCATAGAGGTATAATTTATATATTATACTATAGACTGGCTCTATTACATATCCACTTGCTTGTAACAATGCCAAACATGTGAATATAGGACTCTGCATTTAACATGCATGAGACCCCATTTCTCCACGTTTTTCTGAGATGCCATGGTTCCTCCTTCTGATGCTTATCCTAACCCCAGTAATCTCCTCTGAATCCCAATCAATTATAATTGGCCCCAAATTAAATCATCAAGAATGACCCTACTTTAGTAACAACAGCTGATATCCTTATTAACAGCCCCCAAAAGTAGGTACAATCAGGGGTCCCCAACCTATGGTGAGTTGTATAATTATTTCATTATATATTACAATGTAATAATAATAGAAATAAAGTGCACAATAAATGTAATGTGCTCGAATCATCCCAAAACCTCCCCCCTCCACTTGCTGGTCCATAGAAAAACTGTCTTCCATGAAAACAGTCCCTGGTAACAAAAAGGTTGGGGACCGCTGGATACAATTATGATCCTCATTTTGCACATGAGGAACTGGCTCACGTAGGCTTAACTTACCCATGGCTAGAAGAAGGCCGAGCCAGGATTGAAACCAGCTATGACCCCACAGGCTTCTAGTAACTGCTCTTCTGTACTGGTTCACGCTGACTTCCGCATGTCTCACTTGAGCTTTGTGACCTTACGCAAGCTGCTTGTACTCTCGGCTTCAGTAAGATGGAAATGATAATAGTGCCACTCTCAAGGGCCAATAGAAAGGTAAATGAGAATACCACTGTGCTTACAACCCGGTGGCCTCCCCGAGTGCCCCTGTGGTTGTGGTTTCTGATTCCTCATAACACCCCTGGAAGGCTGGCAGACTAGGTTTCACTGTACCTTTTTAAGAGACGAAGACATTTAAGACACTGTGCCCTGCTACCACCCAGCTCCTGCCATATTCCTGGGGTGACACGGACATCTCCATACTCAGTGTTTGTCTGCATTAGGAGCAGGACTTTGCCCCAGGTCAAGTTCTCAGACTCAGGCTGAGATATAGGGTGTTCTAGGGCCCCCATTTTCTGTTTCCATGGAGAGGGGGCCCCAGCCAGAGCTGGCCCTGGGTGAGCCAGCACGTCCCCACCTCTGTGCCACTAAGAAACCCTTTGTTAGGCTCTTTGGAGCTCCGTGGAGCTATGCTTTAAAAATCTGTATCTGCCAAACCAATCGCATTTATTAAGTAATCATTCATTTTTATTTGTCAGGGATGCATATAAGGTCCAATCAGGGCTTCTGATCAGCCCAAGATAAGCAGTGCAGCCAGACTGAGCTGACAGAATTCCAGCCAAAAAGGAGAGAAATGACATTTCATTTAGTCTGGGCAGACCTGTCATGGGGAGATGTATGATCTCCCTTAAGCATTCTGAAATATCGCTAATCGCTCTGGGCCCCCTATTACTACATTGAAAGATGGCCCCTAGGGATCTGGGGACACAGGACGGGGGAGCCCTTGCCCACGAGGAGTGAGCTGCTGCTGCCAGGGGGGCGCTGCCAATTGCTGCTCATAGTCACACGAGCACAGCCACAGAGCAGCCCGCCCCATTGCAACACCCCCATCCAGCAGGGTGTCGTTCCATTTGGGGGATGCTCTTGATGTTTGTTTTAACCAGCGTGCACCAGGACAGACAGAAGTGGAAGGCAGAGACAGGAGGGGGGCCAGCCTATGCCAGCAGCTCTGCTCTGGGGCCATCTTGGTTCTGTCACTTCGGGCATGGGTGACCTGGGGGATAAGTCACCTCCCTTCTCAGTCTGGGCTAAGTTCCTTTAGTGGTTAGGTGGGCCTAACCCCACATGCTCGACTTCCTCACAGAGCAATCTCAAGATTCAAGGTCAAAATACGATCACGTGTGAGAAAGTGCCTTATACACCGTAAGACACATACATGTGGCTGTTTTGTTTTTAATATGGCAGCTTATCATTTCCAACTCGGAAAAAATACATACCCACTATCACTCTCAAAGTGTAATTTTCAAGAAGTGTAAAACACAGCTTATATAAATATAGAATGAACACATGTCAAAGATTTTCTAACTCCTTACTAAGGGGGCAAGTAAGGTGGTAGAACTAGTTTAAAGAGAATTTTGAGGAAGTGGGTACTTACAGGCATTCAAACAGGAATAAGAAACTGAGATTCCTGGATTAAATACAAAACTGGTTACTGTCCTACAGGGCATTAAGAAATCATAACCTTTGGAGTTATCTTTTCTACTGCACAGAAATTATTTGTACCTCTACCAGGAAAGATCTTCAGTCTGAGCCCTAATTGTCAATAGCAAAGTCAAACTAAGTGCATTTCCCTGGATACTAAAAAACCCTCTGGAGGGCTGGTTGAACAATGCCCAAGAATGACACATCCCACTCTCTTGGCCTTATTTCTGAGTTTTGGATAATTTATCTTAACATCTCTCAGAGTCATGCTAAATAGTCTCTCTGGAAACTGATCTTCCCAGAAGGGTAGCCAATCCCTCCCACTCACAGAAGCACCCAGGAGAGACCTAAGACCATCAGTGGGCACACAACCCCCTCTCCCACCCCCTCTATAATACTTTATGTCCCTAACTCTGCCCAGGCCTGTGGCATATGCATAAAAACAAGGGAATAATACCATGTAGGGTAACAACTAACACGCAGTGCCAGCCACTGTTCCAGGCACTTGACACTGGCTGATTCAGCTCTCCCAGCCACACTCCACAGTAAACAGGTGAAGGAAGTGAGACACAAAAAGGGAACAAGTTTGGTCACTTGGTCAGCAGTTAGTGAAGCCGGGGTCCGAGCTTATCCAGGGAACAGGTGTCAGTGGCCAAGCCACTCTGCCTTGCCACTCACAGGGAAGCTCTTCCTGGACATAGGGGCTGCATTAACAACTTCTGAAGCCACCCCCACCTCCAGCAGCCAATAAGATGTTCTGTTTGGAGAAAAGAGTCTCAGTGGGAAACCCACATCGTCAGCTAACCAAAACCACACTGTTAACTAAAGCCATGGTACAGCGCCATGTGGGAAAAAAAAAAAAAAAATCAATGAGAAGTCTTTTAATTGTTCCATGTAAAAAGAAGGTGCCACTCATGTAAGTGATTTCAGTAATTATGCAATGCCTTTATTCTCTAACAGTAGGGAGGGGGAAAAACCCAGGAATCTATAAAAAGGCTGATTAAAGAATTAATTTAGTAAATAATATTTAAATCAAGGAGTTATTTTTGGATTTTTCTCAAAACTTGAATTGGCTGCAAGTACTTTAATTATTCTCTAATTGCATGGATTAATTTACTCCCATCCCCAAGAGAAAGTCTATTTATGTTTTGGGGGGCTGGGGGGCATCTTAAAAGCAAGGCCAAGATCTCTGAAAGAAACAGGAGGTTGGTGTTGCAGGATATTAATAATCATGTCAGTAACCTGATATTAAGTATAAAGAGGTTAATCATTCAAACTCTTTTTGCCTTTCCCCCAGCCCAGGCTTCTTGAAGCAGACAGAACAGCTTAGAAGACCAGACCAGACCAGTGCCTGGAGCAATTTGAGATAATCTTCACCCCCACCCCATTCCCAGGAACCATCGCTGGGGTATGTAAACCTCAGACTACCCGCTGCTGCCA